TGTGGGAAGCTTGACCAGCGCCAACATCTTATGTCATATTTCGATGTAATACAATTTACGGAACGACACAGGTAGTTTCATGGAAACTTCCCTTAAAAAAAAAGTCTTCCCCAAAACGAGGCTGAAAATTTTGGCTGCAACGAGTTTCGTACCCTATTCTCTCTCACCAAGAGGGATACAGAAAGAATGAAATATGAAACTCGTTACACGCAAATTCTTCACTATTCAAAGACACGTCATGAATTTTGTTCCATACAGTCGCCATCCAAAACTAACAGAGAAAAATAAATGGAAAATATCTAGGTTACCGATATTTAGAGATAACACGTACAAATACAATGCAAAAGTAATGCAATATGCTAACATGATTAATAAACCAATCGACTCCTTTTAATATGGAGTTAATTATGTTAATGAGGTCTAGTTTAGTTGAAAAAGGTCTCGACTTGCAAATTAGTAGTTTCATATTTGAAATCTCATGATTTCATAGTAATATGCATAAGAAATCCATTTATTTGTAATTTAGACTAATGCTTGTATTAACTAAAAAAACGGAGGAATGAATTGTCACCACGTTTTTGTGTTTTGTAGCATTTGAGCATGCAGGACAAATATGCCAAGGTGATGTGAACACTTGAGTGCTTATCTGTTTTCCTTTCTTTTTTGACATGTGGTTCTCATTCCAGTGTGTCCACTTCACTTGTTCCGTACATTGTCCCCTCAGCACATGTCTCACGGGACCTCTCCATTTACTCACACAACTCTCCAATTGCATTTGCACTCAGAAAAACAAACAAGAAGAAGAAGATTGTTGACCTATAATCTACAAACAACTCTCACTGATTATCTGGGAATTTTAGGAGATGATTAGTAGACTACTTTGAAATATATCTCTCTTTCTGGTTTTACAGAGAATGAAACTGTTTTGGTAGATACCCAGATGTCCAATTACACTGATTTAGAACAAAGATCATTTCTTTTTCTCATAAGTTGGCTGAAAATTTATAATTCTCTGTTGGTATGTTTTCGTTGGCTTCAAACAACCAAATTTGAGTCATGATCTGTTATGTAATGCAAAAGATGGTGGAACGATTCTAGAACTGACCTGAGTGCCTTGATGCATATGCTCTTTTGTAATTGTTTTATTTTTAGTAAAGATTTTGTTACTTAAATTAGTATTTTTATTCTTTTTAATTTATTTATTTTATTAACTCCCTTGTTGGATGCTCACGCCAGGTACCTTGACTCTTGCAAAAAGCATGAGGTGCAACCCAATTCAGCAGTTTTAGCATGGTTTACTCAGGTCAGGTCTTAAATTAAAAAATTTGCTTTCACTTTGACCTGCTCTGCTTTTGATCATATAAAATTGGTAGTGTTCTAACAAATTGCTTTTACCATATATTAAATTTCTACTTTCTTTTAATATTGTTCAGGCCAAAATTCAGAGCTCCCACAATGAGAAGTGTAGAATAACAATGTCGCTAGATCAGCTAAAGGATGCCGATATTTTGCCTCTAACCAACGTACTTATGTCAAGTGACTCTGCTGATATTGATGCTGTTGATATATTTCTGGAATTCTATAGTGACTTGGCTAAAGAAAATGTTATGGCTTTGATACATGCTGTCAATCAAAAGCTTCAAGTTGTTGATCTCCAGGATTTGTCGTTGGGGAACGAATTTCTAGGGTCTGTATTAGCAATTTCCAGTACATCTTGAGAATTTATTTGTTGGGTATTTTTCACATTCAATATCAGTATCTTCTATTACCTTTCACTTGAGGTCAATTATAAAAATGGAATAAAAGTCTCTTAACTTTTTCATGTGGATACTGTCTTTAAGTGGATACGCAATGTACTTTTTTATGATATTGTTTTATGTTCATTTCCGGAATTACTTTTTCAGCTTACATGATTGTGAAGCTTGATTCCATGTGCTGATGAAGTCTACATGTTTGTTTGGGAAATAACTTATCTGTTGTTGTAACGAATCTACGACAAGATTAACAAGTGTAGTATTGTATATCATATATAAATAGAACTTTTGACTTGTTCCATTGATTTGGATTCTCCCCAGGGATCTCTTCCAGGGTTGCTTGGCTTGCCAGGTCTTCAACTTGAGGTCTACTCATATCCAGAAACTCAACATCGTTGGAAGCTTTTTGCGGCTGCACACCCTCAATCTGGACTTTTGTACTTCACTTGCTAGTTTGCACAAGGACTGTTTTTCTTGCATGCCAAATTTGATGCGTCTCTCAATGTGTGAGACAAGAATTGCAAATCTCCTGACAACCGCTGGTGTTCTATCAAAACTTCCTGCTTTGATGGAATTACGGTTCCAAAGTTGTTTGTGTTGCAAGGACACTGGGCCATGTCCTGATTTACAAAGACAGCACAACTTACAGAGTGAGGTAAGTATACAGCATGATTATAATTTTATGTGGTTAATTTTTTCAAAAAGTATGAAATTGCTATTTGTTGGTGATGGATTCAACAGTTCATTTAATAGGACTTTGGAAAATTGTAGGTTCAAGAAAAAGACGAGTCTCTTGTGAGTGACCTTAAGAATGTCACTATTACATTAAAGTATATAACTCATCATCGTTCACCCCTATGCTTTGAGAAACATTACCGGGATTACATGATTTCATCACTCCCTGGTTTGGAAGTTTTGGATAATTTTCCTATTAGAAAGATGGAAAAGGAATTGGCCATGATGACCTCTGCAAAATACTATGAATATTTGCCTTATAATAGACAGCTCAAAGAAAGTGTTGTTAGTGTTTTGCATAAGCGTGAAATGGGAACAAATGGTATACACTGCCAAAAACCATTTAAGCCAAACCAGCTGCATCCTTATCGAAATGGCCAGAATTTTTTCTTAAGGTCCCTTTGCGCTGCCAAACTTGGGTCTTCAATGTGGCCACTCTTACATCCACTGTCTAACTTTAGCCACACATTTAAAGCAGAGAATAAGAAGCTTCGTCCAAGGCAATTTGAGTACCATCCATCAAACCCTAGTCTTATGGTATTTGGAACCCTGGATGGTGAAGTAGTTGTTCTCAACCATGAAAATGGGAAGATTGTTGGTTATGTCCCCTCCATAGGAGCAATGAGCAGTGTCTTGGGGCTTTGTTGGCTCAATAAAAATCCATCCAAGGTATGTGATTTCTTGTATGCATTAACAGTCTAGGCTGTGTTTCTGGTGTTTGTCAAAGTGTTATCAATTGTAATTCATATCTTCTCAGAGAATTTATATTATCTAGTACTATAATGCAAACCTAATAATATGCCAAAATCCAATGTTACACTAAAATAATACTTGGGTTGTGCATTTGATGTATTATGAATCCTAAACATCTCCCGAACTTAAGATATAATATAACTGTGGGAGAGTGTTTAAGTTTATTATAAACCTTTGGAATACTATTAACATGCATTACCTGGCATGATTAAGTCCTCTTTCATGGTTAATCCTGGTACATCATGAAAGTGGACAAACCAGACAGTTCTCTTTGACCTACTGCTGCGCTTGTGTGGCCAGCTCACTTGCAGATGCACACAGAGACAAACATGTATATGGATATACAAACGCTAGTATAGACCATCATAATACTCAGGGCTGCCGATGCTTTTCTCTTACTCAAATGCAAAAAGTGGTTGTACTTGTAATCCCCTTGTTAATGTTTTTCTTACCCATTTTCCCATTTGTGTTGAAAAAATAGCTTGTTGCTGGTTCAGATAATGGTTCCTTGAAGTTGCTAGACATCAATTATATGTCACCAGAAGTTTCAGACTCCTGTTGCAGCTCTAGTGTTGCAACTTTTGATGATTTCGAGCAATTGACTTCTCTTCATGTAAATTCAACTGATGACCAGCTTCTTGCTAGTGGGTACTCAAAAGGTGTTGCTCTATATGACATAGCGAGTGGAAGACGTTTACAGTTGTTCACTAATATTCACCAAGAACCAATCAATGTTGCCAAATTTGCCCACCATTCCCCTTATATGTTTGCTACTTCATCATTTGACCATGATGTGAAGATGTGGGATTTGAGACAGAACCCAATGCGGCCTTGCTATACAGCTTCAAGCTCAAGAGGAAACGTGATGGTTTGCTTTTCTCCTGACGACCTTTATTTGCTTGTTTCAGCTGTTGACAATGAGGTACAGTACAGTAAGATGCACTTTGGTCTATTGCTGTAGGCAAAAATGAGCAGATAACTTCTATGTGTTGTCACTTTCCAGGTTAAGCAACTTTTGGCAGCAGATGGGAGGCTCCACATGAATTTTGAGATAGCTTCTACAGGAAGTTCTCATAATTATACCCGTTCATATTACATGAATGGAAGGGACTATATTGTTAGTGGAAGTTGTGATGAGGATGTAGTTCGCATCTGCTGTGCTCAAACTGGAAGGAGACTTAGGGATGTTTATTTGGAGGTAATCTATTGGATGAAACTTGTTATTTTCACAGGGAAAGCTTCTACTTGTGCTCACCACTCATCTCCTTTGCAGGACAAGGAGTCAGGAAATTCAATATTTGTGCAGTCCTTAAGGGGTGATCCTTTCAGGGTAAGTTCTGCTGCAAATGTGATGCATGGTTAGTTCTTTGGTTGTGTTCTGTATGATTTTCTTCATTAGGGCTTTGGAAATGTTCTGTTACCAAATATCCACTGATGCAAAATTGCTACTATTTCTTTTATTGTGTTCACTATAACAGCATTTTCACATGAGTATATTAGCAACCTCTACTCGTCCAAGCTCCAAGTGTGAGATTATAAAGGTAATGTTAATGTGCACCCATCATTTGTGTTGTTTTGGACGGTTTTAAAGGGGAAGGCTAAAATTGTGTTGGAATTTACGCAGGTCAATTTACTTGGATCAAGTTACTATGCAGAAGAATATTCTTATGGCCAATGTTTACACCCTTCCTGCTGTCTGGGAGGCTGATAATATGTTTGTGGTCTGTTGTGCTTATCTGTGTTTGTATCTGTGTATATGTGAGTGAGTTATTAAAAAGAAATATCGCAGCAGTTTGAGCAGACAACAAAACTTAGTATAGTGTACATAGTTACTTCTTCTTCTACTCAAACTCAACATAATTCACTACTATTTCAGCATCTGTTTGTCTATAGAAATGGGATGACTGCCTGCAAAGACAACATATTTCATTTCAAGAATAACGAGAGAGCATGTAACTTACATAGTTACTTCTTCTTCTACTCAAACTCAAACATAATTCACTACTATTTAGGCATCTGTTTGTCTATAGAAATGGGATGACTGCCTGCAAAGACAACATATTTCATTTCAAGAATAACGAGAGAGCATGTAACAGAGCCTTTTGATGTGTTACTGCAATCATGCACGCGTGAAAATATATTGATATGAATACGAACTAGACAAATGGAGCTCGAGATCAACAACAATACCAAATTATTCCTTTGTCATCTTCTTTCCCAAGCTCAGTACAGCAGCTAGACTCACAGGTATAAACTTTTTTTCCCACATTCACATAAGAAGCATTTACAGGACTCATTTACTGAAGACTTTAAGGAGTGACTGTGCCTACAAGAAAACCAAAAAACTTGGTTAAGGTTATGTTTAAACATAACTTGTAATAATCCATCATATATAAACATTTTGCTTCATACCTTTTTTTGGGCCCTTGGGGTGCCATATTGTGACAATACCACTAAAGGCGGAACAGCTCCTTCTCGTTGCACCATACTGCAGTATCTGTCACTACTTGTGCAGAGCTGTAGAAGAGCAGCAGCTGCATGCTCCTTCCCTCGTGCAGAACCCAACTCAACAGCTTCAACCAGACCAGGGATCCCACCTTCCTGACCAATTGCTGTCTTTCCCTCAGCAATTGTAGAAAGATTGGCTAAAACAGCAACTGCCTTGTCAATCAGTCCAGCTGCTGGATCCATCAACTCCACTAGGTACTTTATAGCACCGGCTTGAACTATTGGACGTCGGTTCTCATGAAAAATTGACAAACTAAACAAAGCTGTGGCTGCATCTTTCCTCCCTCTAGGAGTCCCATTCCCCAATAAATCAACTAGAGGCCCAATAGCCCCTGACCTTCCAATGCGAACCTTGTTGTCCTCAATCACCGAAAGGCTAAAGAGAGTGGCAGCTGAGTTTTCCTTGGCTTCAGTACTGCCTGTCTCAAGGACATGAATCAGAGGTTCAATTGCATTGGCAGCAGTAATTGCAGTCTTGTTCTCAACATTGATGGATAAGTTCAGAAGTGTTGTGACCGCATTTTCTTGAACCCTTTTGTCTGTAGACCGGAGCAAGTCCACCAACAAGCTAATGGCTCCACAGTTTGCAATAACAATCCGATTTTCCATACTCTGCTTTGCAAGCAGCCGGAGTTCAAATGTTGCATCTCTTTGAGCATCAAAAGAAGTGGCTTTCAAGTCCTCAACCAGATTACCTACTCGGGCTTCAATTAATCCAGAATTGTCTACTCTTGTTTCAATGGCGGAAGAAGAAGATGTCTTTGGGTCTAAGCTACCAGATACTCGGCGCCGCCTCATTTGGCCTCAAGGGTCTTCTTGCCTCTGCTACCAATCTGGTTGGCAGCTCAGGTTTTATGTGTGAATGATGAATCTTGGTCTTTCAACCAAAATAAAGAAGAAGAAGAAGAAGAAGAAGAAGAAGAAAAAGGCGTAAAGTTCAAATAAAAGCTCCACTTTGAGTCCTTGGTTGACGCTTCAGAAGACAACAGAGACACGTTGCGTGGTTATACGCTAAAAAAGGCAGCCTTCCCTCCTTCTACGCGTGTCCTTTTGGTATTCTTATGAATTGTAGATTTTTTTCTTGCGTATAATTTGGGTGAGAATATTGGAATTAGATAATAAGAAATGGAAGCTTCCATTTTCTCCATTTACACTTCCTTTTGCCTTTTAATACTTTTTAATCAATTTTTTCTCTTTCTTTACTATTCTACCTTTACCCTATATTAATTTCTTTCTACTTCATTTTTATATATATTTTTTCTTTTTTTTTCGTACTTAATTTTCCAACTTGCACTTTATTTTCAGTTTATTTTTTCCTTTAATCGAGTAAGACATAATTAACAATGTATATTTATCCAGGCAAGATTATATGGTCAACCTATTGCAAAAATTTAGGCCCCATGAATAAACCTTGCAGCGATAATGTTTTTATTTATTTATTTATGAAAAGGAAACAAATTTTAGGTGGCCACAAAGAAAGAATAACTAGACTGAATGACATCGTTTTTTTCCAAGTCATTTAAAAAAAAATGGCATCGTTTTTAATTCCTAGCACAAAATGGCCTTTTGGCATCGTTTTGGTGCCAAATCATTTAATTAAAAAAAATTAAGGGATGCGTAGCAGAGCTACTGTTGTGAGACATTTCGTGAAGCAGCTGGTAGGCGCTTCCAAGGGGTGGCACCAGCAGCTCACCATAACCTCTACAGCCATTTCCATGGCTTCCAAGATCCCGTGGTAGCTGCGTCACTGCCTATTACCCAACACAGAAACTGACTCAAAAACAAAAACAAAACATGATAAACTCTCAGAAAATTTCCCATTCTTATATGACAACCCAAAGTTCCACTACTACCTGGAAAAACGCCTATTAAGCATAAGATCTTAGTAAGAAACACTGCTATTAGTTCACTAATAGCTTATATCCAGGGCATAAAGGGTGACATCAAAACAGATTTCAATGGGGTACTTTACCATGAGATGACACATAAATGGCAGTGTCATGGAAATCGTCAACCTCCAGGTGGATTGATAGAAGGGATTGCAGACTGTGTGAGGTTGAAGGCGAATTATGTGCCCAATGGGCAAAACCGGGTGAAGGTCAAAGTTGGAAACAAGGTTCTTCAGTGACTGCAAGGTTCCTGAAGTATTGCAATGGTCTTCAACAACAACAGGGGTCTGTGGCTGAACTGAACAAGAAGATGAGAGATGGCCATAGTGAGTCAGTGACAACCTCTTTGGATTCACGCTCCGACTTCTATTTTAATTTTTAATTTTTTTCGTTTGACTTTTCTTTATTTTAGTTATCAAAACATTAATGTAGGGTACTTTTCTTTATTTTAACTTTTCTTACCCAAGGAATATTGAACTTCTTTGTTTGGATGAAGTAATTGAAAATTACATAGAATTCTAAAATGATGGAATTTAGATTTCCATCGTTTCAATTTATAGCAATTGAAAATTTCAATGTTTGAATTTATATCTGTCGAATTTTGTAAATGACGAAGTTTTGTGAATGACATTATGGAAATTATGAAATAACGCCTATTTTCGTGGAAATTAAACTCGTGAATTTGATGCCCAAATTTCCATGATTTTTTCCACTCGTCATTTAATAAATTCCACTCTTAACTTGCCAAACAAAGGAATTGTCAATTCTCCTCTAAAATTCCCAACTTTTGGGTAAATTCTGGGTTATTTTCCCTCATCCAAAACAGAGGGTAAGAAATCCAGTGTTGTAAAAGAACATGTCTTGAAAGAATAAAAAAGTAAATGATGGCTGCCGAAACACATTTAGACGCTGCATTAAGAAAACTAAGATAACAGCCTTGTGAAATATCAATGAAACCACGCATTAAAATATAATAAAATGTTTACCAAAAAAAATATATATATAAATATAATAATGTCCATATGAAATACTCAAATGGGGCATAACACAAACAATACCAAATTTCTCATATGTCATCACCATCTTGTCTGACCACAGAGCAACAACTAGACTTACAGGTATAAACTTTTCTTCCCACATTCACAGCAGTACTTTACAGAAATCATACAAATCCTCTATGAATCAATTGTTTTTCCTCTTTTCTACAAATCAAATTAAATCCACACAAGAAAACCTTCAATTGAATTATTTTGCACCAACCAATTTACACATTATCTATAGAAGCTGACACAAAACCTCGGCTGATACCAAACATTCTATTTTTTCAATTATCCTCTACCAGCATTACCATGTCTATGGTTTCTGAAGTAGCTAAGGAGGGTTTGTGCCTGCAAGAAAACAAAAAGTGCTACGGTTCAATACATTATTTCTGATAATAAATAAACCAGGGCAGAGAGAAGCAAACATCATTAGAGGCACTGTACCTTTTCCTTGGCCCTTGGGGTGCCAGATTGTGACAATACCACTAATGGGGGGACAGCTCCTTCTTGGAGTACCATACTGCAATATCTATTACTATTTGTGCAGAGCTGTAAAAGAGCAGCAGCTGCGTTCTCCTTCCCTCTTGCAGAACCTAACTCAACAACCTCAACCAGAACAGGGATCCCACCCTCCTGACCAATTGCTGTCCTTCCCTCCGGAATTGTTGAAAGATTAGCCAACACAGCAACTGCCTTGTCAACCATTCCAGCTGCTGGGTCCATCAACTCCACTAGGTACCTCACAGCACCAGCTTGAACAATTCGACCCTTGTTCTCATGAAAAATTGACAAATTAAACAAAGCTGTGGCTGCATCTTTCCTCCCTCTAGGAGTCCCATTCCCCAATAAATCAACTAGAGGCCCAATAGCCCCTGACCTACCAATGCGAACCTTGTTGTCCTCAATCACCGAAAGGCTAAAGAGAGTGGCAGCTGAGTTCTCCTTGGCCTCAGCACTCCCTGTCTCAAGGACATGAATCAGAGGTTCAATTGCGTTGGCAGTAGCAATTGCACTTTTGTTGTTATCATTGATCGACAAGTTAAGAAGTGCTGTAACAGCATTCTCCTGAATCGTCGTATCTGTAGAGTGAAGCAAATCCACCAACAAGCTAATCGCCCCACAGTTTGCAATAACAATTCGATTATCCATATTATGCTTGGCAAGTAGCCGGATTTGAAGTGTTGCCTCTCTTTGGGTATCAAGTGAGGTGCTTTTCAATTCCTCAACCAGACTCCGAACTTGGGCTTCAAGTCCAGAAAGGTCAGGTCTTGTTTCAACAGCTGGAGAAGAAACTATCCTTGGGACTAAGCTCCCAGATGGTCGCCGCCACATTTGGCTTCGAGGTCTTAGCTCTGCCATTCTGGTGGGCAACTCAGTCTCTCTTTGTTGGGAGGCCAACGCAGCAACAGCCTGTGGTTCTGATTTCAACTCCCCAGAAGCGTCACTGCTGTAGCCTGACAGATTGCTTGACACCCGTAAGGTCCCGTTGGCATTTACAGGAGTTCCTTGAGTACCATTGGCGTTAGAAAGTATGCTGGAAGCTGAGGCAGTTCTATTATGGCTTTGAGATGACTGCTCAGCTTCAATAGAATTAGGAAATTCATCTAGAGATGGTGACATAGAGTGTTGGCTAGCTAGATCTGTACTCCTTTCTTCTAAGTTGGCAGACCTGTCTTCGGAATTTGCTAGTGTTATTCTGGCAATATCCAAAACCTGCCCATTTCCAACTACGCCAGACAAGGAACCTTCTGATGTAGAACGAGGATGCAATGGAGAACTTCTTTCCCGATGCAATGGACCAGATGAGAACAAGTTCTTAGTGGGCGAACCCATAGACCGAGCTGACTCAGGTGACATTGGTCGATTGACCCTGGAATGAGGAAAATGAGGTGAATCCTTTGGAGCTCCATGCTCTGCTTGTCCAAGAAGTTGTGTTGCTTTATTTAATCCCATAGACTTTGTGGGATCAGGCAGTTTCACATTGTTTGACTCGCACCAATTTGCAATTAGTGCCTTTACCGTGTAATTAGGTATCAAATTGGTGTGAGCCAAAGTCTGCCGTGTCTTTGGACAAACAGTGAGGCCAAGATCAATCCAGTTCTTGATGAAAGTCCTCTCATAGGTTTGTCCTGATGCCACAATAACTGGATCTGTCATCAGCTCCAGAGAGAGAGGACAGCAGAAATCAGCAGGAATTGGAACTGGACTGCAGCTCTGGGACTGCTTTATCGTAACAAGGCGCTCATGCATACGGGTGACAAGGGATATCATATGCTCAATATACTCCGCCTCCTCAATCTTTTCAGATTGTTCAGCATTCTCCTTCAACTTTTCAAGTGCTACAGCCTCAATAAGAATCTCCTGGTTTGACCTCAAGCTAAGGCCTTCTGCAATTTTTACTAGGATCTCTGAGCTGGGTCCAACACCCTCCACTTGATCACTTACAGAATCTTTAATGACAGTTGACATTTGTTCATCGACCATATGCTTAAGTTTTTGTATGCAATGCTGCAAACAACCATGGTGAGTCTTAGACATCATAAAAGGATAGCCTAACCTCTTCCCAAATTAGAAGTCCACTAGAAAGACTAGAAATTACTTCTTCCGCGTTCCAAAAATTTGTGTTTAATGATTTCACCATCTGACTGATGGTTTTTCATCTAACCAATGTTCTGTAATAAGCAATGAATTAAAGAAACTGAGTTTTATGCTGTCTTTTTTTTTTTGGCTGAAGTTTATGTTCTATCCGTAACAAAATGAAACAGGGAAAAAATTAATCACTCTTTTTGCACACATTTTGTACCTCAAGAGATGCCGAACCCAATTCATCAGGAAGATGTTGTTGGGAAGTCTTCAACAGTTGAAAGATATCCAAACCAGAAGTCCAAATCTTTGAGATCAAAGATTCAACTTGCAGAACCTACATGTCATAAAAAGAGAAGATGGTTAGATAAACTGTCCCTTCAACAAAATGCATTCTATACCTGTCCTTGGGGAAGTTCATTTGTCATTATCTAATTTAGTGTACTTTGTCAGTGTATAAGTACATGCTTATGAGATGTGATATAAATATGCATGTGGAAGGACATTAGAAGACAAAAGTATATAACTTCAGTAAGTTTTAACTTTTTCTCATAACTGATAGCAGTGCACTAAATCTAGTGTTAACAACTCCATGCATACTTTCAAATTTGACGAAAGCCAACAGGCATCAGGAAAAAAAA